TCTTTATTAGTTATTAGTATTATTAGTTACTATTATTAAGTACAGTGATCACGTGAACAGACAAACTTCTCAAAAGTCTCTCCAACTGTTAAAGCTGACTGACAGCTGATCCAGCTGTGATCAGCTGATCATCAGTCATCAGAAACAGATGTCGCTTCACGTGACGCAACTGAGGAAAGGACGTCTCATGTATCTTAAAACATATTTACTAGTTCCTCTCTCCTTGCATGGTTTCCTCCATGCATCCCTGGTGGGAGGGACTAAGACGCAAGGAAAGGAAGAAAGTGAGGGAAACGGGGATGCAATTAAGAGACTTGAGAAGCACCCTGAGAGACAGGGTTTATAAAGTGGCTTGAACAGGTGAGGGGAGTTGTGCTGATGAGGAGGGAGTGCTTGATTAGAGGCAGGTGAAGGGAGTTAGGTTGATGCTGAGGGAGTGACTGACAGGTAGAGTGAGGAGGGTGAAGTTACACAAAAACGCAGAACACACAAGGCAAAGCCTGATTGTGACAGACACTCACAAAAACATGCCAGGGTGGGGATATAATGTAATCTATTTATAATACAAACCAACCATTTCCAAGGACTTTGTAGAAACAAGTCATTTGTTACAGTAGCACACTGATGTTGTCTTCTTGCAAGATTTTGATGCAAACCACAGAAACATCATTGGTGTATTACAATGACTTGTAAGGTGACTTTTTCTTTGCAGTGTACATTCTTATGTCAGATCTTATGCAACTGAAATAGTTTCAGATGATTCTGTAGCTCTTAAAGCAAGCACACTTTTCCAACAGCTTAATAGGTGTTCTTCTGTTACATCACGTCACACTGAGGGTTCAGTAGGCAGGCAATTTAAACTAAGACTGTGGGAGAGAACAACACACACTGACAGGGGGAATTGACAATATCAGCGGCCAACAAGAAAAGCCACTTACCGTCTAGAGGTGTCAGATGTGACAGAGGGGGGCAGAGTGAGGGCACAGGCGCCAGGAGAGACAACGCAGACGATGGCAACAGCAAAAGAGACAGAATAAAAATGCAGAGAAGGAGAGCGAAAGAGAAGAGACAGAAAAGAAGAACAATGCGCACATGAAAAGAAAGTCGCACAGAGAAGAGACTGACTTTGCCACACAGAAAGCAACAGCACTCTGCCTCAGCCCTCCGTCTCCACACAGTCGCATTCTTTTTCCGTCTGCTGCGATTCAACAAAGGCAACAAAATGCTGCAAACTGAAACAACGGCATCGTTCCCCCTGTTGCCCCGAGGCTGTGTTTGTTTAATGCACCGATGTTCATTTTCATTTCCAGTATCGATTTTACTGCTTTCATTTTTCTGGGGCTTGCAGTTTTCTTGGCTGAGCTTTCGATTCGAGGACTTGAGACTGTGGGAGCGTAGCAAAGCATGCCTTCTACGTTTAATGAATTTGGAGCTGAAGGGGTTTGTTCAGATTGGTAATGTTTGGAAAATAAGACATTAAAAAGACCTATCTTTAATGAACACAATTACATATAAATCAGTGCTGAAACAATTAGCCTGTTAATTGTTAGTCTGTTAATTGTTAGTCTGTTAGTCTGTTAGTTGTTAGTTGTTAGTCTGTTAGTTGTTGAGCCAATTAGTCATCAATTTTTATTATTGGTCTTTCGTGGAGATTTGCTGCTTTTCTCTGTTTTTACTTAATTTGTAAATGGAATATGTTTAAAACTAGTAGTTTGATGCTGTCAGCTTGTGCTCTGACAACTTGTGATGGGCATTTTTTACTATTTTCTGACATTTTATAGACCAAATAATTCATCAATCCAAAAAATGTACAGTCAGACGATGAAAATAGCAATATACTTGCAAACCTGATGTAAATGGAATTTCCTGCATGAGTAAAGTATTGCATATGAACAACTTTCCATTTTCTACTACAACGGCTCTCCTGACTAGACTAAATCTGCTTCCTGTATCACATCGTGCTGCCTTTCCAGCATGCACTGAATCCTGATACCCATGTACGAAGTATTGTTCTCATGATAATGGAATTTCTAACTTCGGTACCATACCTTGACTAATATCATTAACATATCATTGAGGGCATCACATTATTAGATTTTCAATCAATTCAAATTGCAGTGTGTGTGTCAACTCGCTGTCGGAGTGAAGGGAAGGCAGAAAGCGAAGCTGGTTCCTGTGTATCAATAATGTGTCAAGTGATTATTCAAACCGTTACAATACATATGGCACACAGACGCTGTGGCGCTTACCTTAATCTCCGTGACCAAGATGTCTGTGATGCTTCCGAGCACGGTCACAAAGTCAAACACATTCCAGGCTGCTTTCAGGTAATTCTAAAGAACAGAGTCGACATAGAGAGATCAGGCTGCACGTTCAAAGAGAGAGAGTTCAAACTTTGAAAATGTTCAGCTTCTTTGGTGCAATTCTTGTTGTTGTGATTATTGATTGTTTTTTCATACTATACAGCATAAAACAAGATGTGTGGAATAACTGTTCAAACTGAGGCTGCTAGTATTTTTTGTTATAATTCGAGATCAGGGAGTTCAAAGTCTGAGACTGTGGGCCATCCCTCAGGCAAAGCTTGGAAAAAGGCACCCCCTCACCTGCTTAGTTTCACTCAATTCTTGGATGCCTATTGGATCGTGATTATATTATTTAATGCCATAGACACTCAACATTTGAGCCAAGGTAGCCTAATAATACAGTTTGATATGACTTCAGACTAAACTGAATATATAAAAATAGACTGTCATTAGTTATTAGTTTCACACACATTTAGGCTATTCTGTGATATTTAACTAATGTAATATTTTTTAGCCTCCCCTGAAACAGTTTGGAGCCCCCTGGGAAGGCTCGCCTCTCACTTTGAAACCTCTAATCCAAAATAATTTAAAACAATCAACTAGTCAGACTTTAAACAGGTGCCCAGCCTTCATGTAGAATCACCCTATTTCAGCTTTTTGATGCATTTTTTTATTGAGATTTATATTAAATTACAAAGTGCCTGGGCAGGAACTTTAACATGGCACATTTCTAAAAGTTCTGATGCACATTTACAGTCTGTGTATGTGGTTAAATTTACAGATATGTGGATATGAAAAAGTCACAGTGGTGTACAAAATATTCCCAAAGATTTAAGAGCAACATACTTAAAAAACAACAGATGCACCGAAAGCTAAAGATATCTAGACTAGCCCATGGGCACACAAATCTATATGTGCATATACAACACACATGCTGACACAATCCCCTGCATGAGCTGCTGCTTGCAGCCTGGTTCCCCCTCAGACTGCTCGATCAACCAGCTACTGGAGGCAGAGGCCACTCACGGGCCCTGCAGCTGCAGTCTGAGGAGGTGCAGCAGCCGAGTGTTTACACCGGCAGATGCGAGCCCATCCGTCTGGGCTTAACAGCTAAACAGGTGGAGGCAAGTGGTGTGTGAGAAAAGCTATTTAACAAATGGGCCTCGTAAATGGACCAGAGTCAGAGATGAAATGGCTCGCTGCGAGCCAGACACCCCCATGTTGGGGGAAGATTTATTCTCTTTGCGCACTCTTCCATTCATCCCTTCTTTTTCTTACTAGTTCACACTTTTTATTCCGGAATTTGAGATTTTACACCTTTAATTTTTAGTGTTGTGTGACTTCCGCTGCTATACCTTTTATGGTAGCTTTTATAAAAATAACAATCCAACCATCCTTCCAATTGTGACAGTTTCTTTCATTAGAACTACCCTGTTAGACCACAGATCTAAAAATATTGTTTCAGCATTCACAAGGACAACATGTAATTAACTGAGCACCGCAAGCACAGAGAGAGCAGCTTGATGCACGAGTCTCCCTCCGAGAGATTTTCCCCCATGTGTGTAAACAGAAACACAATACAACAGTGAATAATTGTCTCGCGTTTTGCAGTGCACAGCGCAGCATATGGTCTCACCAGTGGACCGAAGGCAATAATCTTAAGGATGCACTCCAGCGTGAAGAGGGCTGTGAAGACGATGTTCAAGTTTTTCAGCATGGACTCGTACAGGACTGGAGCTCCGTCGAACTGAGGGCAGAAAACGTACACCGAGTATATTTCAGAGAAGAACCACAGCAGTGTGGACGAGCTTCTTCCTTTCTCCGCAATTTACCTAACACTAGATCAGATAGTGACAATGACACTGACAACTACAAGTGTAAATGCAACCAAGAGGCTATGTGTCTTGTCACTGAGATAATGGCAGGTGGTTGTGAGGCACTGACATGATCCGAGTGTGGGTTCGTGTCAGTTGCTGATCACTGTCTCTTTAAGGTCCTGGAGGGCTGCTCAGGGGCAGCACGTTTCATCCTTGGTTCCGGAAATAAATGACGCTGTGTAATATTTGCGTTCTGTCTGAAAGTATTCGTGACAAAAACAACAGTTTGAAAAAAATATTTTGATGTGCTTAAAAAAAAAAATGCCCCCGGTGTTTAAAGGCCTAAAAGCAGCATATCTGAAGAGCCTTTCAAACTGTCTCAAATAACTTTTCAGATTTGATTAAATTTGAAATATTTTCAGACAACCAGGAATAAAGCCAAGACACGAGCTCTTCTCTGTGACAGCAGTGAGCACTGTTAGCAGAAGCATCCCAGTGGTGCGATGGTGGGGATGTTTGATTTTTCATCGTTGCCCATGTCTCAAGGCCAGACCAGTGCTGTTGCATCTCTGCCTTAAATCTAAATTATTAAATGGTACAGATTCATGTAAACTGCTTCTGCAATCCCCTTGAATATTTCAACAGGATCTGAAGTCTCACTTGAGCCAATGCACCACTTTTTTTCTTCTTTTTTTTTGGCTTGGAGGGATCTGAGAGGAATTGGCGCTTTGCAGGAGGAATCACTGACCTTCATCATCAGCACGACTGTGTTGAGAGCTATTAAAGTCATGATGGCGTACTCGAACGGGGGCGACACCACAAACTTCCACATCTTGTACTGGAAGGACTGCTTGTTCGCCGGCATGTATCTCGTCAGCGGCTTGGCGTTGATGGCAAAGTCAATGCAAGCCCTCTGTTTGATGGAGAGACGAAAAAAAACCACATTGTGTATGAATCCTCTCTGATGCACCTTCAAAAGTAGAAAAGACAGCTGGCAAGCCACGAGAGGATTTTCTAAGTGGTTTGTCCAATCAAAAGATAAGACTACAAATTGAGCCTCTCTGATCACTGGCCAATACTTTACACAGAAGAAAACAGCATCATTTTAACAAAGTCTTTGTGGAGTGGGTAAACCTCACTGAACCGTTTTTTGTTCTGTTTGAGGGAATTGTAAGTCACGTTGGATATGAATTTGCCTGGAAGTGATGTTTTGAAGTGGATCAGCTTGTGCTCTGTTTTCTAAAGAAGAAGACATTTGTGATGCAAGAGACAAAGATTTTCAGAAACTAGTGCCTCTGCCGAAGTAATCAGCGTGTGTTCTTGTAGTGTAGAGGAGAGAGGTTGTTGTTGTTTTCATAGTGCATCACTTTGCACCACTCTCCCACCTCATTCTTCTCCAGGCTACACTCCGACATGGCCTTGTCTCCCTGCTCCTGGAAGGTGATGATGATCAAAGCCACAAAGATGTTGACGAAGAAGAAGGGGAACACCACGAAGTAGACCACGTAGAAGATGGACGTCTCCATGCGGTAGCCTGGGCTGGGGCCCTGGTCCTCATAAGTGGCGTCCACCGAGTGCTTCAGGACCCTGAACAGAAGGAAAAGAACCACGTCGAGCTCACAGCAGGTAAAATAAAATATCTGGAGGTACTCAATGAGTTCAGGCCGTCAACATTTTGTCTGGCTGCAAATAACCATTATTTTCATTATTAATTAAACAGACTTTTTTTAATCTATTAATTTTGTGGACTATAAAACATCACACAAGGGAAATGCAGATCACAAGGTGACATTTTCAAATAGCTTATTTTGTCTGACCAAAAATAGAAAAAATAAACGTATTTATTTCGTAAGACCAAGAAAAACAGCAAACTCTCACATTTGAGCACCTGGAACTATCAAATGTTTGGCATTTTTAGTTCAAAAATAACTTAAATGATTAATTGATTATCAAAATAGTAATTTCCTTTCCATCAACTATGCGATTATTCGCTGCAGATCTATTTCAGAGCGATCCACGCTCTACTAATCTTCCTAGGGGAGCTTTAAAAGATGCCAAATCCCTCCAATGACTTATCTGATGAGAACCAGCAAATCAGCACACCTCTACCTTCACCCCCCTTTACTCTGTAAGTGACAAAAATAAACCCTTGGAAGAGGAATCAAGAAAGCTTGATAAAATAACAATGAAATCAATCCGTCTACAAATATCCAGGGAACCTGTCCCAAAATATCCAGTCAACCAGCCTGTAGAGCTTTCTTACAATCCTCACAGAGGCTATTTATAAAGATTGAGCGAGTCACAGCACAGTTAGGTGCCCTGTGCTCCTCCAACAGAAGATATGGCGGTGCAGTTGTGGGTGCAGTCGTAATGTCTCCTTCTTACTGGCTCACAGAATATTCAGGGTGTCTCCGGTGAGTTAATGACTCTCCTGCTGTGAAATCAGCAAGTGCTCAACGGGCCTCTGACAATCTTGTTGAGCACCGTCTGCACAATTTCTGGCTGTGTGCAAAAGTTTTTTGGAACTTTTGAAAAGTGCACATAAATAATGATGATGATGATGATGATGATGATGATACCCCAGAATGAAAAGACATCACAAGCCCTCTAGTGGACTCTAGTGAACAAAGGAGGAAGTAAGGGCACGTTACGACGCGTAAAAGTCCACAGAGACGGCTGTTTATTGCCCACTTCCAATCGTGAGTTAACTTTGTTTTGTTGGAAAGCACGACTACGGTTATTACCTAACCTTAACCACGTGTTTATTATTGTAATCACGACACATAAACATGAGAATCTTCCCCGTCTCTATCAGCCATCTCACATGACATGAATGGAGCATTAAGGAGGACATTGGTTCAGCTGCAGGTCTTGATATGTTCACTGCCAGTCGCACACTTGAAAACAGAGTGAAATCAGGAGTATAGTCATGATCCAGAATAGTAGATTGTCATTACGAAGTACCGGCTTGATTTTTGATTTTCATCCTTAATGAAATAATCAGGTACTTGCATGTAAATATTTGGGTGTAATGATAGACCATCTGCTATCCGGGAAAGACCACATTTAATCTGTCTGCATGAGGACAAAACAATGAATATATTTTCTCCGCCGCATTAGGTCTTTTGGGGCGAGTAGACAAATTCTTCTCTTGTTTTTTTACTTCTGTGATTCTACAGTATTGTGCTGCTACATAGTTCAAGTGTTTTTCCACCACTTTAATTTAAAACTGCTCCATCAAATGAAAGTCTGCTCAAAGACTGCAGGTCAACCTCTTGAGAACGCTGTTCTATGAATCAGCCTACCGATATTGGCCAACAACATTGTCTCTGACCCGTTCAACCATGTCCCGACCAGTGAATACAAACTGTTGTCATCAAATCAGAGATACAGGGTTCCACGATTTAATACGGTTAACTGCTGTTAATCCCACAACACATGTATGTTGAAGGGGTCTTGAATATGTTGTCTTTGGTTGTTGTTAACTGTGCGTATCCTTTTTTTTTTTTCAGACATGATCTGACAACTAAATATCATCATCATCATCATCGTAAATAGTTATTGGCTGTACAAGGAGCTCAATCACGTCAGCTCCACGAACAGTTCACTACAGTTCATTTTGATCGTGGTTCTATTAGTTGAGTGTCTACGCATTTGTACAATTTTAGGGTTAGTTTTTTGTTAGTTTGCTTACTGTTACTGTTGGAGTGTCATAGGTGCAATTTTCTAAGCATCCCAAATTATAAGAAATGAAAAATACTTATTTAACTTTACACTTCTACTATATTTCAATGTAAAACTATGCTGTCAATTCTTGTTTGGCTGTGTGTGATTTTAGATGATCGTGACCAGCTGACTCAGTTTAACAATTCACTTTTCGTCGTCAGGTAAATGCAATGAATGAAATAAGTAAACAGCCATCAACAGTCCTTGACAGAGATGATGATGATGATGAGGATGATGGTAATAAATCTGCCTGTGGCACTTTAGCTCAGGCTCAGAACAGCAGACTGAAGACATCTATGCAATGAGCCGTGATTGCATCTTTAGAAAACGCACAGTAATTAAGCCGAGGAGGATCGGCCTCCAGGTGTGCTGAGTGCTTTTCAGGGCAAGTCAATGAAGGAAGTTCTAACATGAAGAAGAATAAATGATTCAACAACACTTCAACTACAAGATTATAAATTAAACACAACTGAAGTGATGTATTGGGGCCATCTTTACTTCTTAACCCAATGTACTCCTGATTTATTAGTTTCACAGTAAACACTGTGAACATGGCTGACTTAAAGGGACAGTGTGTAATATTTGGTGGCATCTGGCGGTGTGGTTGCAGATTGCAACCAACTGAATACCCCTTCAGCTCCCTCCTCCCTTTCCAAACCTGAGCTAACGAGTGCAAAACAGTAACACCATTCGCCTCGCTCGTGTGTTGGAGAGCTATGGTGGCCTTGAGGTAACATAACACATGACTGGTTTGGTTTGTCTGTTCTGGGCCACTGTAGAAACACGGCGGTGCAAAATGCCCCTATGTAGATATGAAGGAGTCATTATAATCTTACGAAAACAGCGATTCTTAGTATCAGGTGATTATACACTGATGAACCCACTTCCGCTAATAGAGCCCCCAGAAAAGCTGCACACTGCATCTTTCAAGTTAAATTTTAAGCACGAAGTGTTGAAGTGATATGGAGGTTGATCTGACTTACTGTGGCCAGCCCTCCCCCGTGGACACCGTGAAGAGCGTAAGGAAGGCCCAGAGAACATTGTCGTAGTGGAACTCGTACTTCTTCCACTCTCTGGGCTGAGCTGACACGCCATCCTTGTCGTAGTCCAGAAACTGACCCCTTAAAGAGAGATGGGAGGAGAGACAGAATCAGGGGAAAGGAGGTGAGAAAGACAAAACTAGATCATCAAAAATAAAAGAGATTGAGAATGTCAGTATAAAATATATGTGTCAGCAAATGGCAACCACCGTGGCTGAATGTAGAGGAGTCTAAATAAAAAGGCAGCAACCTAATGGATGGTTTAAAACATTCTTAAGTTTGGGTGACGTACCTGCAGTCTTTCTCCAGACCCTTGGACTTGTCGGTGCAGTAGAAGAATTTGCCCTTGAAGAGCTGCACAGCGATAACAGCGAAGATGAACATGAAGAGCATGTAGACGATGAGGATGTTGAGAACGTTCTTCAGAGAGTTCACAACACAGTCGAACACCGCCTAGAAAATATTCACAAGCACACGCTCAGATCAATAAATGTAAGGTGTCGCATTCATTGAGTTCTCTCCATTATCATGAAGCTTAACCATAACTGGTTTATAATTTGCTGTGTTATTATCATTGAATATTTTGAATTAGGGCTGTCACTCACTTTATTAGAAATCCCAAATTTCTGTTCAAACGAGGGGAAAAATATAATATTCAAACTGTAGCGACCTGTTCGGATTAAAGTTGACTTTCTCTGATCGCAACAGACAGTTTGAGGTAGTGCAAGGAGCACTTCAAATTCAGCTTGACCTCCTGTATACCCTATTGACTTATCAGTAAACCAAGCTAATAAATAAAATGGAGAAGAACACTGGCAAGGTACCCGAGATGCAGTGTTTGGAAGTACACTACAGCGTGGATGGTTTATCAACAAAGATGAGGCTGTTTGCCCACTTTGTAAGAAAAAAAATCAGCAACTCCCTCTGGACTGAGGAAACTTCTGAGCAAAGGTTTAACAACATTCAACACATTATATTCATGGATGTACAATAAGAATTGGATACAGTGCCTCCACTCAACTTTGCTGCCAATGTTTTCTAGTGGCCACTTGTGGTATTGCATCAAAAAAGTCCCCTTGCAACCCCAAAAACATTTTATATATATCTTTATATATATATATCACATTATGCGCCAGGCGAGCAATTCTCATTGGAATGACTAGGCGTCTTGGTGTGTTACATCCAGTTCTCATTACACATCCATGATTCCCCTTTAAAAATCAGTGCAGCATGCTTAGTGTGAGTGTAGGGCAAGTCTGCTTATTTGATTAAAAAGCTTCGTCTCTGATTAAAAAGGCTGTACCAGTCAACTGTATTTGAATTTAGAGCGAACTATTTACATTTTCCTAACAAAAGATGTCTCAAGTTCTAGGTTAAAACTGAGCTTAATTTGGCTGAAAAATGAAAATAACAGTTTCAACAGCCGTCACTAAACAACAATATTCCAACTCTTACTTAGAATCTGCTTCAAGAGAACAAAAAGCTAATTTTTCATCCAAATTCAGTCCTTTTTTAACCCAGATGTCACGATGTCTGAAGACAAATCAATGCTTACATGAACACACCTTCGCATGGAGTCCGTCTCTGTGTCTCCCTGTCTGTCACACTCTTATTTCAGCTCTTCTCTTCTGACAGCTTGTGCTGTGATCTCTCTGTGAGATGGAGTGCTCCGTCTATCTATTCTGACACGTATGCAATCTAACCGATGAATCCGCTGCTGCATGAGTGATCGCCTACCAGGCTTTTGTCTCCAGAGAGCGGACGGAGCATATCTTTCCCCCCTCTTCTACCAGCCTGTCCATCAAGCCGCTCTGGCCAAGCATCCAAGAGGAGTTGTGGATGAGCGTCTGTCTGCCAGCTCTGATCTGCCTCAATCATCTCACTTCTATTACTCCAATCAGATCTTTCATCTTTTGTCAGATCCATTACTTTTGGAAGATCAGCTGCCTTCACGCACCAGAGGCAACAGCTGAGGGTCCAGCCTTGATGAGGGTCGCAATCCATTATTGCAGAGTCTTACCCCTACATGTGATGCTTGGGATTCTTTATCGTAAAGGCGCCACCCCCCAGTGGTAGTATCGATAGGATTACCACTGGGATTATTTGATCTTTCTATTATCCAAAAATGATGCCACCAGAATAATTAAACTAAAAAAATAAATAAACATAGAAATTATATACAAAGTTGCATTCATAAATGTTTTTCTAACAGTCCAAGTTGACAATTTTACTTTAGACCTTTCTTTTTTAACATTTCCTTGTAAGTACATTCAGTAACTGAACATATTTTATGTAAAAAGGGAAGACAAAATAGAGGAAAACCTAATCGCAATTACAAAACACTACAACAACGATGGCTCATATTTAACTGAATGCCAATTTGTCAGCAGTAAAAGAGGAATGGCAGCAAAATGATGGCAATTCTGCAAGTGCAGTTTTTAAGTCCAAATTCTTTTTGATATTAATATATCAAGAACAGCCACTTAAACATAACAACCAAGCCAACCAAATATAAACTGCAATGACGAAGACGAACAGAGAGTGACCTATGTGTACTCTCACTATTTTCCAATGACCCATATTGTTGCAAACATATGAGTTAACACACACAGCTTCTGCTTCTATTCAGGCATTTCTGGCGTATTGTGAAACATGTATTGTGTCTTCAGAGGAGTGTACTGTATGTTCTAGGAGTCGCAGGCTTATCTGTAAATAAGCATCCTTGCACTGAACGTCTTCAGTAAAGGAAGCAATTTTCTGTCACTTACTTCCAATTTGTGTGACTTTAACTTCTCCCGTCTCTCCACAGCACAGAGCACCCCAAAGGTCGAGCCGTTCAAAGCTTCATTAGAGAGCGAGAGATACTAGATTCATATAACATTTTAAAACGCGACTGTTTTTAAATCAGATACATCCACTCCTCCTTGGTAGAATGTAAATGCATTTGACTCATGATAGTGTGTGACTGACACCGGATGTGGCCCCAGCTGGCTGCTCTGCTTTGTGCACTGGGTGGGTGACAGATTGGATTACTGTACCTTCAGCTTTGGAAGCCGTTTAATGGTCTTGAGTGGCCGCAGGACTCGGAGGACCCTCAGGGACTTGATGGTGTTGATGTCCTTGCCCTTCGTCCCTCTGTGCAGAGTGAGAGTACAGTTAGTCCGGGCGACGTGGTGTCACCGTCAAGCACGTTAACCCTTTCATCCCATCCTCCAGCACCACCGGCAGACTGTGGTACATCAGGTGTACAGTGCACGCAGATAAATGCCTCTTTGTATTGTTAGTAGAGTACATGCACATGAGTTCATGTTATTCTACAGATGCATGCAACAGTACAGCAGAGGAAGATTCATTTTACTCAAGTACTGTGTATGAGTACAAATATCAGATGTTGCTCCCCCACTTCATTATTCATCTATTCTTTCTTTGCTTCAGTTTGTCATTGTCTTCCATTCATACCCTTTGTTCATTCTTATTTTTTCGTTATGCATTTATTTTTCCTCTGTTCTATCGCACATCCATCCGTTCTACCTTACAGTTCTTCCCCCTTTCCATCCATCTCTTTCTCTCCTTCTTTTCTTTTCATCTTCTCTGTCCTTCCTTCTGTTCTTCTCTTTCTTCTCTCATTTGTTTGTTTGCATTTTTCGCCCTTCTAAACTCCACTCTTCATCAACAATCGGAACATTTTACTGCAAATACTTGCTTACATTCTAACGCAGGACGTTAACTCGTGAAGCATTTTCCACTGAGATATTGCGTCTTTTAGTCAGAAACCACATTTCAGCACCTTCTCCACGAACGGCCATTTTTAATGTGTAACCTCAGCACATCTGCATATCGCATGTAACAGTCCCACGAAGCTAGCAGGCTGTTTCTGTAGAATAACATCCAGTGTGGAGTAAATGCACAAAGAATCAGCCCCTGGTTGAGGAAGCAGCTTCTTTTGCAGGAACCACTGCTATCAGTCATTGCAGATGCTGCAGGTTTTGTTAACACAGTGGGAGGTGTGTGTGTGAGTGGGAGGGGGGGGTAAAACTAGCTGTTATGCTAATGACATACAGCTGAGCCATCATTCACTCAGAGACTGACATTAGTCAAGGACAGTGTAAGAGGGGTTTTTAGTCATAATATGTCCGTCACTCTTTATAAAAAAATGTCTCGTTTGTTTCTGCTTGACTTCAAAAAAATCTGAGATGTAGAAAAATAGTGTGCGTACATCTGTGTACTATGTTCATGTGTGAAGGATGTGGAGAAGGACACAAGCATACTAGAGAAAAAAATCAGTATAAAAGCCCCGTTAGTTGCCCCTAGGGGCCCCGTTTCTTCTTACACCAGCATCAGTTACCAATCTTTTCATACCCAGGGGACAAAAACAACTTCTACTGTAAAAACAATGCCATTTGTTCAAGCAAAAAAATAAATTCTAACAATACATGAATTGTGTTTTACAGGTCTCTCGAGAGTTGTGTCGTCCTTTGTCACCTTTCCAAAACCAAAAATACAAGAGCACGTGTAAAGATTGACTCAAAGTATATTCATATGCTCTAACAGAAGCTGTAAACGTTAGCATGCTTACTACCTGCAGTAGTTACCTAGCGTAACCTAACCATGTTACTGTATTATGTGGGGTTACAGGTTATACTAGTTAGCATTAGCCTATGCTAGCTAGCCACAGCTGATAAAATACAAACACTAGTTGTCATTTCACCTGACTGAAAACACAGTAGTCGGCTTAAAACTGACTAACCTTAAAGTGGTAAATGTGCTACAGTCATCTCTGTACACTGCACACATGTGCTGAGCTACAATGGAAAGCTTGACAGGTGTAGCAAGATAAACTGAGAGGGGACAGGGATAGCAAACTGTAATGTAGTCCAAATACAATTTAACAACTAGCTTCCGTTAAGTACCAAATTCGAAAGTCTTTTCCAGGAAAATAAGGTATTGGCTCCTTTCCATGAAATAATGGCGAGACTAATGTACCTCTAAAATAAAGCATCATCAGTTGGCTTTTACCACCTTCCTATCCAAACTCTTCCTCTCTGTGCCTCCACACACACACCGAGGCACTCACGCAGGCCCGGATGAGTCCGTCAGACTCGAATTTGAAATACACCTGGTTGGCCAGAGTACAGTATCTAGTGACTGAGGGACTTATGAAAACCAAGAATTAAAATAATTAAATAAATCTATTTGTAATGTGTCTAAAAGTCTGTTAAGTGCTGAGGGAGAAAAGCATGGTTCCAAAACATTTTAGGCCTTTTCCTTTCTCAACGGAAAACTAACAAAATGGCATGCAGCTCTCATGCTTGGATGACTTGGTTACCCTGGCATGCAATCTGCAAACTCAATGCTAGTCCTCGCTATTCAAGGACCTCGACACATTGAGACGGCAAGAACAGTCTCCCAATAGCTTCCAGAAGCGCCGTGGGCAAGGAAGATGTAATGTGCGTCTGTGTGCGTGGATACAGGTTGTGTGTTCACATTAACTCAGCACTGATTGCTTGAACTGAAATCACATTTTGTCATTCGTTTTTTGCAGTCTATCATCTATTTAATGTTTTGTATGTTAGGGGCGTGTCTGTTTGATTGACAGCAGCTGGCAGGCTGCCAGAGTGCCGATGTTACTCCGCAAGGAGAGATACACAAAGTAAACAAACCTGTGTTGCAGCTACATGCAGACGGCGTGTTGTTAGTGGAACTGAGGAATCAGAACCAAAGTGACATTTGCAGGTACGTTTAGTTGTTGTTTAACGTGCTGCAGCTGAGCAGCTAATTAGCTATCGAGCTTGCAGACCGACGTTAGCAGTAAGCTTTTGCCTTGTGAATATTTGTGTGATCTCTCATTCAACTATCTGTCGCTGACTCAGTGTGTTCGTCTGCTCTGCCCGACAGACTTACATGAAGCTGTAATGCCAGCGTTCGCCGTCTACGTAGACACCTGACAGTATTCCATTAAATTGGTGCAAAACTAGGGGGTGCCATCATTAAACCAAAATACATCAAATATCTTTTTTTTTCCCTTATGCTTTCAGATTTTTTTTTGTTAACCAAGAAGACACGACAAGTGATTTACAGAGCAGATATGTATGCTGTCACAGGTTAAAAATGCAATTTAACTGAAATGTGCTCAGCAGCCAAGCATGTGAGGTCATCCCTCTTCATCATGACTCTTGCCGTCTCAGCTGCCTCCTATTGGGCAAGAAACATTTCCTGTTTCGGTAATATCTGACGTCCAATTAGAAGCACATTACTGCCTCAGCCAAAAACAGGATGCATGAGGCTCCTTCTATCCAGCTGTTTCAAGGCAAATTTTGAATAATGTACGTTCAAATATATTTAAATTCAATTATTACTTAAATTTCAATTTTTTTATGCTACTTTTATGTCATAATTTGATTTAAGATAATAAAACAAAACTAAAATCTGGGTTAAAATCATATGTTAATAATAATAATTTGCACCACAAACTCTCGTCAGCATAAAAAAAAGAGCCTTACCTACAATGGGTTTTATGGGGAGATAAACAGGTATTTAGCAACACTTTCCTGACATACACAGGCTGTAACCCTGCTTTTCAATGAAATAGCCACCTAAGATGCGTTCAGGTGAGAAGCTATAATCCATTATTGAAATCCAAGGAGAGATATGGGTGAAGGGCAAGGAGGTGAACTGAGCCGCACGCTTTAACCTCTTAGTGATTTCACCAATTGAACCCACTTTAGTGAAGATTAAAGGAGTTTTACATGAACGAGAAACAACAGATCAAGGTGTTTTAGCTCTGATTCAACTGATATCTGATGACTTTGCAAGTGAAAATGTATTAAGTGCAGATTCATAGTGGTGCTTGTCAGCAGCTATATGTTGGTCTTCTGAAAGCTATGAGGGGGAGTTCCCAATATTGTCTTTTTGTCTGGATGTCCCAATATTGGGACAGGAGGTCAGAGAGGGGGGGAGGGAGGGGGAGTCATGGTCATATCCCAAAGTTTATGCGGACGGGTTGATAAGAGGTTTCTCATACATGGGGAAAAAAGGGACAAGGGAGGGGTGGTGTCAATAATCAAAAAAGGTAGATAGGGACAGTTCCCACCTGGCCACGCTTTGTTGCGATCTGATGAGAAAAAAGCAACGACACAAACACAGTACACAAACATCACCCACATAAATAGAGCGCACAAGCATATAAAGACAGACAGAGCAAAATAAACATTTTAAGCTGATGTCACACATTAAATCGGCCTTTCAGACTTACATCGAAAAGAAACCAAAGATAAGAGACAAATAGAAGAACTTTAACTAATTACCCTGTGAAAGACTGAAGCAATAGACAAGTCTGATCAAATATTACAGTGATTATGTGTACCTCACACAGGAATAAAACACATATATAGCACGAGGACGATCATGAAGTCACGGACAGTTTTTCACCGGGAGGGAAACAAAGATGAAAGGACACTTATGACTATGTTCACACTGCAGCTGAGAAAAAACAGATCTGCTTTTTAAAGACATTGTCAACCACCTTCACACAGTATGTGGTCCCAAATCTGTTATGTACCGCATTACGGACCTTAAGTTGCTGCCTACATTTCTGATTTTATTCAGCTTTGGGCCTGGTGAAGAGGTCTTCATGTGTCCAAGGAACTGAGACGCGACCAGGGAGCAAATTATCTTTCAAATATCTGTATTAATAAGCATACTTATGAATTATTTTTGGAAATTGTTTCTATGACATTACAGTCGTTCAACATAAATATCATTGTCGACTGCGGCATTGGTCTCTTTATTAGGGTCAGTTCAGGTTGACGGCAATTTGGATTGGGTCTAATTACAGTTGGGTTCATTTAGATCAGGTCTGTCTTTTTTACAAATGGATTTATGTACTTCGGGTCTGAGTGGGTTTCCACAGGTCAGTTTCAAACATTCTGGACTCATGAAGATCTCTACTCTGTTTTTTGTCTTCGTAGACGGCTGTTACCCCGGTCGGATAAACAACTAAGCCAAACGAAGCTTTATAAGAAAGGGCACGTCATGTTACTGCACATGTGCATGAGAACTGCAGGGTTAAAGATGGTTAATCTGCATATTTCTTCAATAAACATGAAAAATGTGAACTGTTCCCAGCCACCACAACTTTCATGTGAAAAATGACTTCGACTGGGCAGCAAGACACTTTGGCCAAAGTATTTTAAGCCTTTTATTTGGAGGTAAATCTGAAAGCAGGTCAGAGCTGAGGCATCGGTCTGGAAGCTGGATGTTTACAACGGACGGTTTGGTTTTTACAATAGTATATTTACAGTTTGTCTTTGTTTTCTCTTCAACCTATCTGATCGTCTGCTCATGTTTCAGATGGACAGCAGCCAACTATCCTGTAAGCATTGCAGTGTGAATGTAGCCTGTTACACACTTACATGCCATGAATGTGGGTTGATGTAAGAGATGATATAGGATGTGAACTTTAGGTGGAGGGATGAGGGGGACGTGATTGAATCGGATAAAACCTGGATGAAGCTCGCTCTTCTACCCTTGTCAGGCACAGCTGCATACTGGACAGAGACTGCTGAACAGGATGACACTATCATATTCTGACAGTATTTCAGAGTATAACAGCAGTGGTTTTAGAATTAATTAATTAATTAGACACATACTGATGCTGAAAGCTACATCCTTATTATAATGTAATTCTTAGTGTTAAAAAGAGCTTTTTATCTACCGTTCACTCTGTTTAATAGTTTTTAATTAGCATCTTTATACTTGTGTATTTATTATGGACAGCAGCACTCAGGTCCTTTGTGTTCATAAATATCTGGAACACCTTTTACTCTTCTGAAAGCGTGTGTCTCTGACAGTACGGAACGTTTCTGATTCACGGTGCTGCCACGCTGTGCATTATGTATATTGTTCATACGAACACATATAAATCATATCTGACGGATGGAAAACAGGTAATTGCACTTATGTAACCGAAATGCAGATGTAAGACAAACGCAGTTACACAACACAAACAGAGTAAATGCCAGTGTCTTTGATCGTGACTGTGGCGGTGATGATAAGAAAAAGCAAATAACAAAATATGACATTTGTTCAAAACATCTAGCTGAGAGAGGGAGGCTGCTGCAGACGTATCTATAAACTCCGCAAATGACACTGGCTGAGATGGACAGGAAGGACAACAGATAACAAAAACAGAAAGAAAATGAGCACATGGACAGATATACAGGCAGAGAGAGCAGGCAGCATTACCCCATGAGGCTCCTGAAAGCAATCCAAGCCAGAAAACAGGAAAAAGGAAGGGAAAAAGTGAAAGAGAGACGACAGAGTCAAAAACAGATAAAAGACAGAGAGAAGCATCAATCTACAGCTGGCGAAGGAGAAGAGAGTTGAGCGACAGGAAGCAGTACAAAGAAAAATACTCGGGTGACTAACCGTGGACAAACTTTCAGGACGGACTAATTCACACTGTATGTGAAATAGCGGCGGATGGGAAATATCAGACAGCGCTGGTTGAAACAGAATTTGTAATCACCTTGTTACTTAAAAGACAGATATTCATTCAATACCCATCATGTGAATGGAAGCTGTGTGTGTGTGTGTGTACTGGCTAGCTAATTGCCATCGAAAAACACAGGTCAAAACTGGTTTTTGGTCAAACCCCCTTCCCCACACAATGCACCTTTCAAACTACAGTCATACAACAATTTCTTCTTCAGGGTATGGAGGTGCAAGAGTTGCAATTAGGTGCCAGCTTAGAGACTTCTGTTCCCTCCTAAGCCATAAACCTGTCAGCCAAACTGTGCATGACCTATTTGCCAACAAGCAGGGAGGGGCTGTGGAGACTTGACGTAACAACAAAAGTTGAGTTTGACATAGTTGCAAAATAACCCCAGGCAGCACAAAAGCAATCGGATGAACACATTGGAGTTGTTTGTTGGAGCGAAACACAGGGACAGAGACACCTAGGCCCAGGGTGTTGGCATGCTAGCCTGCTCCAGGGAAGGATACTAGAGAGAGGGTAACATCAGCTTAAAATACTGTAAAACAACACAGCCATTCATTTGTTGTGGTGTGGTTGTATCCGTCCCTGAAACACATCACATTCAGAGCCCTGCCGTGATTAGAGAGTAACACTGCATGAATAAAAGGAAAAGCTGACTTACGAGCAGGCAAAGGCCACCAGGGCTCCGCTGACCACAATGAAGTCCAGAATGTTCCACAGGTCACGGAAATAAGAGCCAGGATGGAGGAGCAGTCCCAAGTCAATCATCTCGAGTCACAGAATAAATACAATAGAATCATTTAAAAAAAATCATACAAGCTGACACAGACACTTTCTTTGTATTACGGCTTCTTCTAGAAGCCTCTTTCCTTCTGAAAACTCTTTAAAAGACCTCTGGTTTTAATATCTAGTACCTTTCCTTTTTCAGTGCCGCAGTGCATTCATTATCTGAAGCATTTGGAATATGTGTTATCACAGCTGAGAAATGTAAAACCACAAACCCAATTAGCAATGCCAGTGACATGACGGTGCTGTCGGCTGTGTGGCTAAAAACCAAGCTCTATTTGGTTGAAAATGACTATAATCCTAATTGTATGATGCAGTTGAAACCATCGTTTTATGTAACCTAAATGTCTAAAAAAGTTTATATTTTCAACCACATTCATTTTTTGACATGTAAATTAACAAAACCTTGCTTAGCTAGTTTTTCAGGGTTCAAATCAAAGTATAAATCCATTTTGACAGCCTCTTCACCTTAATCACCATCTCAAAAGTGAAGACCCCAGTAAAGACATAGTCCAGATACTTGAGAACCTGTAAAAACAGAGAGCGAGAACATATCCTGAGTTCACTCGTCAGATCTAGAGACAGATATTTTCAGTTTTAGACACGTTTTGAGGCTTGTGTGTGTGTGTGTGTGTGTGTGTGTGTGTGTGTGTGTGGATGGACCAGTTATGCACAACATGTTCTTCTGCCCTGTCAGAGGTCTCCCATCTATTTGCACTCCCCTACACTTACACAATTTGCCTGAACAGTGTGACATTTGACCAAAAATAACAACAAAAAAACAACATCCTACCATTTTCTCCTTAATACGGGCAACCTGTCGAGCCCTGTCCAGTCTGAATGAATCAGCCAGTCAGCCCAAATTAAATGTGTTTGTGCGTGAATCCTTGTGTGTATGACTGTGGGTCTGACAAGCAGTGTGTTTGTTGTGTACTTCCAGATGTATATTCATGGCGTCTAGATGTCAGTCTCACTCACGTTGTTGCGCGGTGCGTTAGCTTGCACGGGGTCCTCGGCTGCCAGGGCGATGCTGCTCATGGTAATGACCATCAGGATGCACATTTCAAAGTAGCGTAGGTTGACCACGTAGTGACACAGCCGCCGCACACTGCAAGACCACACACACGCACAAATGTAAAAGTACGCACAGAGTAGCTCACTGGAGAACACGCATATCCCTCCTTGTCAAAACAATGCACAAGGTGGACATGTATCAGCCTCAGGGGTACAGAACGACTAAGGGACATCTGGGAGTGCAATGTCTTCTAATGGAATCAACATGTAACACTTAGAAAAAGACGCTTAAAAAAAACACAAAACTAACTTTTTCTGTACTTTCCAGAACTGATATCAATCCCTATCAAGAGTTCGGGTAAAACGCGGGTTTGTCACGTGGATAGACTGGTAGATCAAGAGCTTCCTCCACGGCCTCAGCTCCTCAGATCATGAGATGCTTATTCACTTGGCACACCAACCCTTCATTTTGGCTTAAGATCTGAGGTGCTGGCGCTCTTCCTAACTGCTTTACGCTCAGCTGCAAACCACCCCAGTGTGCGCTGAAGGTCATGGTCGAAAGCCAAGAGAACTACATCATCAGCATAGAAGAGAGACACAGCATACACAGCTCTCACTCCGGCTATTCAATGGCAGGATGGCAGTTTCCTCTGAAAAGGAGGGTTTAAACATGTCCCTACCATCTCCCAGAATGCAAGACAAATTCTTACACGGGCAGGAGTTGAAGACCTTGTGGACTACCAGAAGTGTCGCCAGCTTTCCTTGTCTTTGATCCAACTCAACTTTACTTCTCGCTTCACGCAACCATCCAAGATTTGTGCCGGCAGAACTGACGACATGACTATGAAGTCGATCTTTGGAACAAAGGTGTTCTCCTTCCTTATGCTTTTGTAATAAACAATCCATAACTAGCACAGTAGTGCAATAAAAAAAGCACAAGTCCATTTTTGGTAATAACCGACCCCATTGGGTTTTCTTGCTCATTGCCCCCAAAGAACATTTTAGGTCATCCAGCAGAACTGTGGAGCAGCCAGGCAGCAGTTCAGGAGATATACCAAAAAGGCTAAAAACTCCAAACTGCACAGAAATCAGAGCCTTTGCAGGCATTATGCGGTGATTATAACACTCTGAAAGTATTCACTGAGGCAAGTATTTTAGCTAGTCACTTGTAGGTAGAAAAGATCATGTTTTCCCGGGAAAACAGCTCAATCAACTGTACCAGCTTTGCTCCTTCACAAATTTCATATTGCTCGTCATCTTTTCTTCTCGGTCAATGTTATTGATTTTTGTACATGACCCGAGATATAGAGGCTTTAACAAAGTGATGAAGGTATGTCTGATGGGTTTCCTGGGGAAATGATGATGAAAAAACGTTTAATCAGTAACCGCCAGGGAAGCAGAAATAAGCAGAACATTTCATGTCTAATGTATGGCTCCGAGTTTCAAGGATTGCTTTAACAAGGTCGGTGAATTCAATAATTTGGCGAAAACGATACTTCTACATCTTTGGATTCACCATGTGCTGTTGGTTAGTTTTTCCCACTGTACATGGAAATAAATCCTTATCATGAGTGGGTTTTATGAACTTTCTGTTGTCCTTAATTCAGCTCAAACTATAAATAATAGTCTATGTCACCCCTCTAAGTCCCTTCGCAGTTATGACTTACGGGTTTGTTTGCCCGAAGATGAACATGGAGCTGTAGGGAAGGATCTGCCGAGGCCCATTAGCTTCCTCCTCCTCGTCCTCCTCCAGGTCCTTCTTCTCCTCACCGAGTCGGAAGTTGTCGCAGTCAATATTGTTTACTGGTGTGGAAAAAAATAAACACTCATTAGTTCAAATAAGCACAAACTGTTTTTTTCTATGGATTCTATGAAGTTGTTTTATGATTGTATTTACTTTCTGCATCCATAGAAATGTATAATCAATAACTCTACTAATTGGACATTTCTCTTATGATGGTATCGACTAAGCATGACAGATATGAACATCTTAGTTAATCAACTAATTGAAAAAACAAACATACACTACTTGAGTGGAATCGAAGCCGCTGTTGCGTTGTCACCATAAACAGCTATATATATATATATATTTTTTTTTTTAAGGAATAGCATTGGCTAACATACACATTATTCTTTGAAGCTGGGCAGATAATCCAATTTTTTTTTCAGATTACAAAAATATCAAGGGGAGTAAAAACTAATAACATCCTCATCAGCCTCAGCTGTACTGTGTGTTTAGAGCTAATAAGCTAATTGTAGAATGCTAAAATGCTAAGCTAAGATGGTGAACATGATAAACACATGATACATTGTACTGGAAAATTGTTGTGCAATTCTCTATTGTATTTGTCCCACTAAAATACAAATGGCATGTCAGCATTGTTACTGTGAGCATGTTAACGTGCTGCCATTAGCATTTAGCTCAAAGCACTATTGTGCCAGTGTGCAACATCACAGAGCTGCTGGCATGGCTGTAGACTGTTCGTCATATTAAACAGTACAGTACAGTTTTTTGTTTTTTTTGGCATCAATTATTACTCTTTCTGTATATGATAAGATTTTACTCATTAATTTCTTTGCTGAGATCTGGGGCTCTGGAGGTATTCTTAATTAGCCTTAATTACCCTTATTGACTAAGTGATGACTAGTGGAAAAATTATAATAAGATGTTTTAATCCGATAACTGATGTGAATAATGTTCAAAAACTTCAAAAGCAAAACTATTCCTTCCCAATGCTTCCACTCTGGGTGTGACAATGACTCACTGGGTATGATGGTGGTTTCTCCGGGAGGGGCAGTGATGGTGACAGGGATGTGGATGGCGTTGCTGTTGAGGCCGGCCTGGCTGGCCCTGGTGGAGTTTTTCTGGTTGTCAGCATCCTCTTGCTTTTCTCCAAGACTCAGGCTACTCCGCATTGGCTGCAGAGGACTGGAGGCGAGGCCGTCGTCCTCAGAATCTGGCTGCCTCTCCCTGGGGAAGGAGATGTGCGTCTTATCACAGGCATCATTATACTCTGCTCTCAGGATGCTTCAAGCCTTTTCTGCCAAATGAGATCCCTACGAGTAAGATTCTCCGCCCTCCTGGGAAACAGACCACAACTTAAGTGGCAGCAGGCTAGAAGAAGTTGTTTACTGCTATCCAAACACACAGTTATATTGTGTTTATGTATCAAGACAAACTGATGCAAATAGTAAATTATTCTTACTATTTCTTACAGTGTCGTAGAATATGAAATTTAAGTGTAAAAGATCCACTAGAGAATTAATTAAGCCCAGTCAGATACATAACAAGCCAATCAGAGAGCTGTAGCGAGCGCCTCGATGATGCTTTGACATGCCGCTGTTACACCCCGTGAACACATATTCAAAACAGGCAAAGAAGATAGAAAATGAAGCAAGACTCTGCAACTACAGGTCTGTTTTTTGACCTCAAATCTATTCAGAAACTAAACTTGGTGGACAGTTAAGAGAACTTTAATGATTCCAGATCAGCCAGAAAATGCAAATCATATACAACAAAGGTCAATAAGTAATAAGAACCAGGTGTAGGAAGGATTGTTGTTAAAGGTACGGTCTCATTAGCCTTATGTTCAACAACAGCCTGAAAAAGGATGTGATATCACGGTTCTGATATGTGGAATACATAAGGGTTGAGCAGAGTGATCGCAGGTCTGCGAGAGTGATGCTGCTGTTCCTAGTCTGGTAGTGTAGTGTTGTACTTTTCATGGTAATGTCATGGTAATTCCATAGAACTAAATGGGAGACCGAGCAAACATTTGTAGAACGGAGGTGTAATATCCTTGTACCTTAAACCTGGAATAACAGTATTTTTTTTTGCTAATATTCTTTTAGCTCCGTTTTTGGTCTCATGAATGAGATTTTGAACTGCTTTAATTTTGAAATGCTACATCAGAATGTCCTGGTCTCAACCAAATACCTGACAGCTAAACAATGAGCTAAAAATCACAGTAAACCTCCATAAAGTTGGGGAGAGCTGCAGATTCAGGTGATAATTCTCTGTAGGTTTATCACTACGAGCGACCCATTTTACATTATTTTCACATTATCGTTTGATACGTTGTTATGATAAATAATAGTCATTTTAGTCACTTTAAATGGTAAATGCTAAATTGACTGTACTTGTTCAGCGCTTTTGTAGTCTTTCGACCACTCAAAGCGCTTCAACACTACATGTCATCATTCACCCATTCACACCCATTCATAGACTGATGGTAGGGGCCACCATGCAAGGTGCCACCTGCCCATCAGGACTATCAAATCATTCATACCCATCCATACACCGCAGGAACAGCCTGCGGGAGCAAGTGTCTTGCCCAAGGACACATCGACATGGACTAGTGGAGCCGGGGATCGAACCGCCGATCATCTGATTGAAGGACGACCCTGATCCACTGAGCCACAGTTGCCACAAAGAGAGAACAATGAATTGTCTCTAGCTAACTTATCCATTGCCGTGCCACACAACAACATGAGGAGCGATACAATAGGATGGAAATGGGGTGCTGCATACTATAAGAGCATCGCCAATGACAAAGTCCTGTATGATATTGACTTATAGTATGAACTATGTGCAGTCTTTACCTGTGACCTTTGGTTCCATTCTTGTTCCTCTTACAGTCGTCTCTCTCCAGAGTAGACTGAGCTCTGACCATGCGAGAGCAGCGTCCCTTCCTCTCTCCATTACTGTCCCCTCCTCCTCCACCCCTCCCCCTGCCCTCTCCCTGCGCACCATTCACCATCAGCCCGTTTCCCTCTTTTGGTGGGCGATGGGAGTGATGGTGGCGGTGCCCCCTCTCCTCTCCTCCTCGACAGTCATTGGCCTCCTCCTCGGGGGAGCCGGCCTGGTGTTGGTGCCTGTGTCCCTGGCCTCCGTCGTGGCTGTGGCTGCTCTCCCCTCTCCTCTCTCTAATCTGGGCACCGTCGGTGTTGTGATCCCTGGTCCGGCTGTGATGGGTGTGGTGCCTCCCTCCCCGGCCTTCGCCTCCATCCTTGCTCTCCCCGTTCCTGTCCCGGTGCCGGTGGTGCTTCTTGGAGTGCGTGTGCAAGTTGTCTCCCACCCCGTCCTGCCGGGGCTCCCCCGATTCCTCCCATGCTCTTTCGGGAGACCTGCTGGGTTTGTCTCCGTTCTTGGCCTCCACCACGAGCGGCCGGTCCAGGTGAGTCTTCATGTCTGGGTGCAGATGGAGGGTGGAGGACTTCTGGAGGCGCTCCTCCGGGTCGAGCTCGTTAAACAAAGCCTCGCTGCTTGTCCTTATGTTGTGTCTCCTCAGCTGGTTGGTCCTCTGCTCCCACACTGACATGGCCTTTGCTGAGCGCTGCTGCTCTTTACTGCACATAGAAATCAAAGCCACAGAGAGGGATCATGGGAGAGGGAAAAACAATTTTATACGACTCACTTTTTCGTTACTTTCTGAGTTCTTGTTCGTATGGGTTTTGGGAGAACATCACCATCCACAGCTTCATCCATAGCCACGCCACAATCTTCTACAAATAACACTACACATTGTTTCTTTACCTCATTCAACTCATCAAGTCCCTAATTGAGAAAAGTAAGTTATAGGTAACCAGACGCGAGGTGGTCTATGGATGCGTCAGTAGCACGAATGTTCACCATGGTAAAGCTTTCACTTACCATGCTAGAGGGTTGTATGGAGAAAGTAGCCAAAATCCTCCACAGCAAAATATAATTATTTGTAATTTCACAACACCTACTGTAAGATGGTACAGTTTATCTACTGCTGAGGGTTGAAACATGCTGTTGTCATGACATGACCCGATCATGGGAAGTTTATATCTTACTTTAGGTCCTCAACATTGACGTATTGCCATACTTTGATACAGGCAGAAAAATGATGAATGGATGATGAAAACACCAAAGGTAGATCGTATTGGCAGTGTTTTCACACATTGCGTTTGGAGGCTTCCACCTATGACTGGTTCAAACGACTAAGAGCTGATGCAGACAGCCTAAAGCCTGTTTAATGAAGCTGCATTGTGTGACACAAGTTCATTTCTGAATGTTGTACCAGTCAGCAATGACACTTTAAAGACAGGGTCACATTCCAGGTCAACCAACACTGACAAACTCAAAAAGTACATTGAAGGAGAAACTGTAGAGGCTGCTGTTATTGTTCCTCCTACTGGCCACAAAGAATTCCCTTCTTAATGTGAATTTGATAGACGATTTGGACCAAAGTCCATAGTCTGTCTTGTGTAAAAATTACAAGTCTTCAGCACTTTAACAAATCAAGAGGGTATCTTCGAAAATGAGTCATTTTAGTATGAAATCCCCTCTTTGTGTCTCCACAGACTGTTTGCTTGTTAAGCCCGCCAGATGGAATTCTGTACTAAAAATAACCACTTAATTTGTCTAACTCAGTCTGCTGAAGTCTCATATGTGTGTGGATTCGGACCCCATCTTTTACACTCAAATTGTTTTAAGAAGGGATTTCTCTGTGACCAGCATGGAGCAGGGGAACGATTACAGCAACCAATAACACCTCAGTGTACATATGGGCACGTGAGAGTTGCGTTTTAGCCTTCAAAAAAATGTGCACCCATCCTTCAACAGGGCCACAATCTCCCATGACCATCCTCATAACAGTAATGAATCAATTAGAGATAGTGTTGAAAAGTCCCGGGGCACATTAAAATGTCAAATATTAAAAAAACGTGTCAGAACAAAAACAAAAACAAACTGTCACAAGCTGTGTGACAAATGAAAACAAGGATATGCCGGCACAAATCAAAGCTACTATATGTCTGTATATCCTAAAACAAAGTGAGGATGAAGAAGGAAATCCCCTGTGAGAGATGATGTCATAGACTGATGGAAAACATAGTAGTGCACAGACGAAGTGCAAAGTTTTTGAGCGTCTTTATTTACACCTTGTGTTAACAAAACAGACAAGGCAGTTGTGTTCATTTTAGTAATTGGTTTACTGCTAATGGAAATCGATTTTGTATCATTTTAGCGTCACAGCAAATGCCAAAAGTTGGCATTGCCTGACATGTCATGTGGCTAATCTGGCACGTAATAAACTGAAAGAGAAGTGTTTTTCTAATTCTTCTTGACTCAGGTCATGTGTAAATGGGGTAGGTATGACCAACAACATGCTATGGGTGATGGTCACTCCTGACACGGATCATCTTTAACGAGCTGATTCCTGGGTTGAGAAGAGTATGGTGAGAGATCACATTGATGGGTGAAATGGGATTTTTTTTTTTTTTCAAGCCAGAAAAAATGTCGCCATTGTACGTTTCTGCAAACCACAGGATACGTTAAATGATGACGCTCATAAATACATTTCATATCAACCTTGTATAAACCATCAATGACACATGGTTAACGTTGTGAAACAATAGGTTTGGTTTAGGTTGGTTAAGGTAAAAAAAAAAAAAAAAAAAATCCTGATTTGTGTTAAAATAATAACGTAACAACTAACAATGACATCTTTTCCCGCCAACTGTGCAGTTCCTTTGGACATGGGTATTTCTAAAGATGTGAAACGAGTTTTGATGTGTCCATCTATCATATATGAAGGCATTGCATACTGTTTCTGCGCAGTATGATTTATTTACATGGGGCTTTATGGGTTAGTTAAGTTTGTTCCATCTGGTCACCTGTACCTCAAGAATCGTCGGCTGGGGGAGGAGTAGACAGAATAACTCCTAAAAGACAGACAGAAGACACAGAGGACACAGGACAGGTATCCACAGACAGGTGAGCTGCAGACATACAGGTAGCGTTTAAATGCTCACAGAAAAGAAAGTGAAGGATTGTAACACTGAGGGGGATGGGAGTGTTATCTAGTGAGCTATATTAAGAAAGCACATGCACACAAAGGGCAGTGTCAAAGAAATTACAGCCACTCCTAGTCATACACGTGTGTTATCTCAAACAGGTGAGGTGCTACGTAAGCATCTCTGGCCTTCCATCTGCACTCTAATCGATTGAGAGAGCAGATCGCCAGGCAGGAGAGCAAACTTTGGCTCTCATATAGTCTTTTAAAGTGATGTCCTGGGGGGTCCTGGATAACAAACAGACTGTAAATGTCAAACTGCCTGCGGTGATGGCAACATTCATGGAAATTAAACATTTATACACAAATGATTCACATCAGAGAGCACGGAGCGGGAGATGGCTGGTTAAGACCAGAGTGTGTTTATGTATCAGCGACTTAGGCTCAGAATGACACCCAGACTGGACTCACAGATTTTCTGCTCTGTGAGGTACGTGATGGCTGTTTATTTTCAACAGAATCATAAATAAATTTCACTTTACAAGCAATGAAGACATTTAGTTTTATTAAGGTCCAGAGGAAAAGAGGAGAGACAAAGGTAAGAGAGAAAACAAGGAGGGAAGAAGAAAGGAGAGAATAGTGGAAGGGAGGAAGAGAGGGCAGGAGAGGAAACAGTATAAGAAAAGAGAGGAAAGGAAACAAGGAGGGGGTAAAGAAAGGGCACAGGGAAAGAGGAGGAGAGAGGAGAAAAGAGTGGAGGCAAGGAGGAAATAGAAGACAAGGAGATGAAAAAAGTAAAGGAGAGGAAAAGAAGAGGATAAAGGGAAAATGGGAAAAGTGTGGATGATAACAAGCAATTAAAGGAGACCAAAACAGAGTCAAAAGAGAAGAGGAAAGGAGAGGAAACAAGGAAAGAGAATGGGAGAAGAGATGGGATTTGAGGAGGATAGAGAAGATGAGGAGAATAAAACAAGTAAAGGAGGAGGACAAAAGAGGAGAGGTAAGAAGAGGATGATACAAGGAGAGGAAATGAGAAGAAACAATAAGAAGAGAGGAACGAAGGAAAGGAGAGGGGAGGAGAGAAAATGAGGAGGAGAATATTGTAACAGAGAGTGATAACTCACGGTGACTGAATGCTGCTGATGGACGACCTGCGAGAGAGTGCATCTCGATTTTGCTTTACAAAACTGTACATGCAGAACAAAAAACAAAAGAAAAATGAGACACAAGTCTGAAGGGGACAGGTGGACTGTCAGTCTGTCTGTCCACATGTCCCCTCCTGTCTTACAGTACAGGACTAAACTGTGCAACATGTCAATAACACAACAGCAACAAAAGCGTGTTTGTCAGCAGAGAGACATTTCTATAATGACACAAAACTGAAACTGAAAACTGTTCAGGAGTTTCATTCCAAAACAAGAAAAGCAGAAGTTACTGATTGAAATGATCTTAAAATAGTAAAAGTGTAAGAGTTTAACAAATATTTAGATTGGAAAATCTTTTTTTATAGTGATTTTCTTTATTTTTTTAATAAAAAAAAAAAAAAGTTGTAGTAATTTTGTAATGAAACCCTGTGTTTCTCTGAACAGCACACATAATGAACATAAAACTGTTTGTTTACAATAAAGGCAGTTGTCACTGTTCAATGTACAAATCAAAGTATGCATAGGAACACATAATAACAATAATGACAGTGAAAAAGAGAAAGACAGTAATTAACAGAGCTGGAATGTGTTGCACCAGCTTCCTACATCCTTCACTAAGTTTCAGAGTCCTTCCTAAGTTCTTAGTGACAACTAGCCAGTTTCAAAATAGTTATTTACTAAATCAGGTCGCACCATTAAAACGTAAGAAATGTCTTAGCTAGTAAAGGTTTTAGGAATGTGTACATTTGTCGCTGGGAAACATCTATAGCGCTGTCCAAGAGCAATGAGTAAACAGGAAGTCACTTCACTTTCAAAAATTACATTTTAAGAGGCAAAAAATATATATCTTTATATTTGTATTTCTATCTGCATGCATGCTGCAGTAAGTAGACTTCAGATTAGAAGGACTGTGTGGAAAATGTCAACGCCTGTCAGCTTCTGCTCGTTACATGCGTCGTGTCTTTTTTAAATAAACGTCTGTGTTCACAGGAAACATACATTTTCCGCTATGCATACAGTCACTTTTCTAAACTCTGCAAAGATAGGTTTACTTAGTATTTACTTGTACCTCCACAACAGAGTCCGGTTAGGAAAACAACATGGTTTGGGTTAAAATAGTAAGTTTGTTAGTAACTGGCGATAGTAAAGTCCACAAGTTATGTACCTTTACTAAGGTAAAATAAGTCAACGTTGACTTGGTTTCACACTGGACATGTTCAGTGGTCTCCTGGTTGAAAGTCCTGAGTTTGTTTGACCCGTCCATCTCCCTCTCCGACCCCCCTTTGACGACTTACTTGCTATTTATACTACGCTCCTACTGTCTAATAATGACATGGATGGGTTTACATTGGAGTTAGCTGAAAAACCTGGTGTGTCCCATACAGACACTAACGGGTCCTACCTTAGTATGTCGGTATCAAACGCAGAGGGCCAATGAGACCAGGTTGAAAATGTATTCTAACTGACATTATTTAGCATACTAACGTCATTGGCATAAAGTTTTGTTGTTTGAGGCATTATTTATGTTAAATTAAATTTTTAATCTTCCAGATCTACATTATTAATAAACAGCATTCATCATGTTTTAGTACAGATATGTTGTATTCCATATTACCTCTTTTATTCTTTACATTAAACGGGTCACATATTGGCAAAGCTAACGTTAACATTAGTCTTGTTAGTTGGTTCAGTTAGCTACACAACAGTTTCACCTGGCAGTAAGTGGGTGGTACAACCCAGTTTGATTTAGTCATGTTGAAACGACACTTCGTAAACACATAAGTTAGAAATAGGCTGCGTTTGAACTTATGAAGAGCTGGTGCAACCGGCTCCTGATCAGTCTGACCTATTTCTTACTGAAGAGGATGGCAATTAAGGAGTGAGTGTGAATCAAAGATAACCACTTCATTATCTGAATAGAGGGCTGTGTATGAAACTGCACGTCACACAGAGGGCTGCACATAATTATACAACACACAATCAAATCTATATGGTGTGTGCACAATGCACAGACACTGTGCGTTATCTGTTTCTTCCCCACATTAACGGAACAGATGGGTGTCAGAAGAAGGCATATCTTAACCTCCAGCATTACATATTGAGCCTATGAATCACTGATGAAAACGCTCCGTTTTACCACCAGTTTCCCTTTCGACAGACTCATAATTTCTAGTGTTCGTCTCGGCTCTAAAAATAGTGTGAATTTGAAGGCGCAGTTTCTTTCCTCGTTGACACAAGTCCCCACACCTGTCAATCACAGGCCTGTGGTGGAGAGAGGGCGGGCCAAAGGTTTTTGCATGACAGGAGCTCCTGTATTTGGGTATATGAAGACAACCCTGTCATTTTCATAGAGAAGATGGGAACTTCTGACAGTTAAGATGAAGGTTTAGTTCCCTCTTGTTCATGGGACTCGTGTCCCATATTTCTGGCAGTTTAACATTAGAATACTTGAATAACACTTTGCTACTAAAGACGGCAAAAACATTTAAAGATATCAATATTGTTTACATTCCACTTGGTCTATGTACTTATGTAAAGCCTAACCATGATGTGTTTACAGAGACATTTCAGACTGAGAGGGACAACACACAGAGAGACAAAGGGACATCTATGTCCAGTGTGGGGTGGACAGAGCTGCTGTCACAGGAGAGAGATGCTCAGAAACTTACGCAGTGATTGAGATGTTGGCTGCAGATATCGGGCTGACTTCTTTCACCTCCAAAGCTTTCTGCAGGGCAAGCTTCTTATTGGCTGCCTTCTCCTGCTCCTCTTCATCCTTTAGCCGGTGAAAGCAAAGACATCAAATTGTGTTTTAATGAAAACGCATTACACGTCGATGCCCTGTGCAGATGCAGGGCTTTTCTCCGGTGCTGGTTTGACGTGTTTCACTGAGAAGTAGAAAGCAGAACTGCAACATTTATTTGGCTCTGTGTTATTAATGTGTATTAAAATACAACATTCAGACAGTCTGACCCAGCCTACCTTAGTCAGCTCCTGTGCATTAGCGAGGTTATCGACAGCGATAGCCAAGAAGACATTCAGGAGGGTGTCTGAATAACAACAGGACTCAGGAGAAATTACAGAAGTACAGTTTACACCCTCTGATGGATTGTGCAATATGTTTTTTTGGTCCTACTGTTTGAACTAGAAGTAAAAAGTGTTAGTAACTTTCTTAACTTATCTGATTTGAATGAACCTTAGACCTTTCCTCCTGTGCTTCTCTCAAGACAAAGGGGCTCAGCTCCACAACTGATGAACAAAACTGTCAGTATGTTGTTTCAATACTGTTTGTAAATGAGGTGTAATGATCACTGCAGCCTCCAGTGAGATTATAAACATTCAGGATATGTCCCAGTTCCATAAAGCATTCAAACCACATTACTAATTCTACTGAAGTTTCAAAAATCTGAGGTATAAATATTAAAAGTTCCAAAATTAAGTTAAAAATAATTGCTAGATTTTGAGTATGCTGTTGATGGACAACATTTCCCCTCAATGCAAAGCAGAAAAAGAAATGGAGGAACAGATCACACCTGGAACAAAATGCACACCGTTTTTCCACCTAAAACCTCCATGTTCCATGTTTTGACCTTGCTCCTTCTGACTCAGACACACTGCAGTTTGAATTACAAGCTGTCGAAGAGGATACAGTTTCCAAAGAGCGTGAGTACGATGAAGTAGACGGAGGAGAACATGCCTCGATGAACGCCCCCTTGAGACTCGATCCCGTGGTACATCACGGCGTTCCAGTCCTCGCCAGTCAGAATCTGAGGAAGACAAGAGAGTCAGACCGACACCTGGGACACGGGCGGGTTGTAAAGCCCCGTGCAAATCTGTTCGAATTAAATTACTTTACCGAGTGAAGGGTTATGAGCGCAGACTAATTGAAGGATTATCAGTGAGCTCATTAAGGGACAGAAGGTACACAGACCAGTCATTCCCTCTTATTAAAATTACTGGTAACGATCTTTCTTTTTCCATAAAGTCAATATTCTCTCATTTATTCAGACGGTATGAAGTGCTCCTTCTATGTGTGTGTGTGTGTGTGTGTGTGTGTGTGGGAGTGGGGGTGGGTGT